ATTGTGTTCGTGCTTGGAAGCTTCACTTATCGGTTTCGCCAGAGCAGTGATGAAAAGAACCCATTTCTTAGAATTGGTAATGTGTTTATTAATGCAGCTAGGAATTGGCAAACAACCGCTTCAGCTATATCAGTTGAACAAGAAGTTCTGGGTATTCTGCCTCATGAAGGTTCTGAACAATTCAAGTGAGTGTTTTGCAATTACTTTCATAATTGGACGAATAAAAGTTGTTGATTTTTTGGTCATCTGCTGATCTTCGGACAATTTAAAGGAAAAAAACTTACAGTTCTGCAATAGATTAGGATGGTAGAAATATTTGTGGAATGGCTCCTCTACTCGGGTTTGATTTGCTTAGAGTTAAAAGGATCTAGGGACTTGCTTTAAAGAGTTAAAGATTGCATAGTCTTAAGCTTGCTATTGAATGTTAAAAGCCCATTGCACGTGTGGATACTCCAATTTATTATAGGATAGTATTAGCCGTTTAATGAAATATTTGTATAAAAAAGTAGTTTTTCTATCAACTGTATTAAAAGACATCTCATTTTATTGGTATAAATTTTTATTGAACACAGGTTCCTCAACAAAGCGTTGCTTGCCCCCGATGGTTCCAAGGAAAATGGGAAAATTTGTAGTATCAGCGAGGTTGAAGAGGCTAAGGCTATTCTTAGGTTGATTCCAATATGGATAACGTGTTTGGTATATGCTATTGTGTTTTCACAGTCATCCACTTTATTCACCAAACAAGGTGCAACTTTGGACGGATCTCTTGGTTCAAATTTTGAAGTACCAGCTGCCTCATTACAATCTTTCATCAGCCTCTCTGTTGTCGTTTTTATTCCTATATATGACCGTATTTTGGTTCCCGTTGCAAGAGTGATAACTAGGAAACCGTCAGGCATCACAGTGCTCCAAAGAATTGGAACTGGGATTTTCTTGTCTATACTTTCCATGGTGGTTGCAGCTATAGTGGAGAAGAAACGTCTCCAGACTGCTATAGAATACGGGCTGGTTGACATGCCAAAGGCAACAATTCCCATGAGCATTTGCTGGTTAATACCTCAGTACCTACTATTTGGTATTTCCGATGTATTTACCATGGTTGGTCTGCAGGAGTTCTTCTACGATCAGGTGCCAGTCGAGTTGAAAAGTATAGGTCTTTCTCTCTACCTCAGCATTTTTGGCATAGGGAGCTTCTTAAGCAGTTTTCTCATCTCTGTTATTGAGAACATCACTGGTAAAGATGGTCAGATCAGTTGGTTTTCGGACAACTTGAATCGGGCACATCTGGATTACTTCTATTGGGTTCTTGCTGTACTTAGTTCTATCGCATTCACTGCATACTTGTATTTTTCAAGATCTTATATATACAATAAGTCAAGTTCTCTCTAAGATGTATTGTACTTGTGTAGGGTAACTTTAGCATGGAGAAGTTAAGGGTGCACAAAGGTCTTCTCTGTGCTGTAGTGTAGTGATATTCTTGTCAAAGCACCTTGTATGGTAGAAGGCTGAGGTGTTTGTGTTACTATTGTTGTATATATACGTGTTCGATATGGTGAGAGACTTTGATTATAAGTTCGTTAGATAGATAATTGTTCGAGAATTACAAAAACTAAGTGGTGATAAGCACATGTTATTTTATGTTGTGTAATTGTAATTTCAGAAAACTCTTATCTTAAAATAACTCAGCGCTTGAAACACTAGCAGTTTTGGATTTTTTTTTTTTTGAGATATTCTTACAACTTGTCATAACATGGAATATCTTCGGTGTTTGGTATAATTCCCCAACTTTGAAGCTACTTATGATAGGAAAATGCACTAATGGCAAAATCCAACTTAAATTTCAGTACGATATTGCTTCATTAGAATAAAAACATCTCTTAAAAAAAAGGCAACTCAATGTACTAAGCTCTAGGGGTGTGCATTCGAATCGGTTTATCGATAAATCGAATCGATTATTTGTTATCGGTTTGTCGATTTATCGATTTCGATTTCGATTTCGAAATTTTCCTTATCGAGTTATTGATTTCGATTTCGATTTTGTCCTCTTCGGTTTATCGGTTTATCGATAAACCGATAAGAAATACTAATTTATTTTTTTTTAATTTTTTTTTTTACCCTTATTCTATAATACCCTTTCCTTTACCCTAAGTCCCTAACCCTATTATTTCATCTACCACATTTAAGGAATTATCATATTTAAAACTCAAGGGAATGAAGTTCAAAATAATGGAAAATAGAATTAGCCGTAATGATGTATTTTTTTTTTTATACCGTTGGAGTGTTGGTGGCATACATTTGATCCCTTACTTTAGTTTCGTTGCATGTGCTTGTTGACACAACATTTATGTTATAAACGGTGTTCGTCTTATTTTAGCTTCTTTTGGTCCATATTAGTTAGGCGTGTTTATAGCGATATACTTTCCGTGGAATCCCGCAAATTTTCTTATTGGTGTAATCGATAACCGAATCGATAAGCCCCAAAAATCGATAAATCGAAAAAATCGAAACCTTATTGAAACGATAACGATAAGCATATGTACAAATCGATAATCGATAAGGGTCAAAATCGAATCGATAAATCGATGCACACCCCTACTAAGCTCCCCTATGCACGGGGCCGGGGAAAGATGGTCTAATGTACGCTGCCTTACCTTATATTTTCTATCCAAAGTTATTTTTGCGGCTTGAACCCGTGACTTCCCTTTCAATAGAAACATCTCTTACCACAGTTGAGTCAAACATGACATTGGAAATGCATGTCAGGTTAACTGCAAGGTCAATATAACAGATAAACCCCTTGCGAAGAAAATGATATTTTGTTGTCCACGGAACAAAAGAAAAGTTTCTTGTATATTAAAAAAACCATTTGGTATCGAAGCTAAGTGGCCTCTTGCTACCCATACGCTAACAGAGTTTCGTGAAGACTTCCTCAACTGTGCTTGATTGAAAGGCAGGCACATGGCCACCAACCAAGAGAGTGTTTATGCCACATATATCCCTCTTATTCCTTAGATGCTATACAGACGTGGAGCTGGTCGAATCTATACAGCCGTGGAGCAACAACCGTGTCTGGATCTATTAACTCTGCAATTCATCGGATGACTTTACAGTCGCCAAAGAAGCACTCGTATCATATACCTGCTTCTCTCAGTGAATCAATCACTGCTCTGCCCCCTCACCAAACGGCCTGCAGCCGCTCTCTAACCAGCTTGCCTCTTTTTCTCCTGCAGCAGCTTTATCTTAGTGTTTTCTTTTGCTTCTACCATTACAACCCTTAAGCCTTTCTCTTACGTGCTTGCCGAAGTAGCTACCGTTGCTGTTGGTGTGTCAACTTGTTGAGCATCCATGTTGTTATGAAGCGCACCCTCATGATATATGGTTGGAGAAACTTTGTAATCATTAAGGCAATTCTAAGAGGAGAATGAGAACAGCTGACTATGTCATAAGTCAGACTAAGAAAACACAATGTATGATCGGAAAACCTTGCATGTAAGCCCCTGCATAGATGGGAGGGAGATACCTCAAGTATCTATGACTGGTGGAAACTCGTAATAGGTGAATGACATAATTCTTGAAGAGTTGTTTATCCCAAGCATTTGTCCGTCAAGTGCATCCTAGGACCTGTTTTCAGAAACTCTCTGAAACTGTCTGGTCTAACTGGTGCAAGCATTTCCACTTCGGCTTTAGGAAACGAAATTATCCACTGAAACTTCATCAAGGAGGTTTACTGAAGCTTCAAAGGTGTTGAAATTTTGTTGCTTTGAGTTACTGCAGTAACTTTTTTAGCATAATAAGTTACTTAGTTTTAGAATAGATCTACTTTTTTGAATTCAAATTTCAGTTAGATTTTTTAGGTTTGTTGAGATATTTTAGTTTTTTTGAATTTTTGTTATGCAGATTTTTCTGCAGATTATGTTCTTAACTGGCTATTTAAAGCCTTGTTATGCTTAATAAAATTATATTGAGAGACATTTTCAATCTTTACTTTTAATATTTTTGCTGCCCCATCTTTTAAAAAACCAACAAAAGGATCCCGGCAGCAGGCCTTGATAAAGGTCAATGCCATATTCTCGTTATTACCTAAATGCCGGAATTCTTGGCACCATACAGCTATACTTAGACCAATCCTAAGAAAATAGATAATGTGTTTATGAGCATACCTTTAGTAGATCGCTGCACAGACCACCGCTCACTGTATATCCACCATGGGAATAGAAATGTTCTGGACTTAGTACTTGGCTGATGCTTTACAGTGGTATGCTAAAGCCAAGTTCTAGTAATTAGTCAATTCACAAATCACCTCATAACAGCAGTCTGTTCTCTGGAACATCATTTTTCCTATTGAATATCTTGGAAGCTTGTGTCTGATTTTTTCAAGTGAAACAACTCGACGGGGCAGTACTTCAGAACAATGAGAAGGCTTTCCCATTCATATTTTACAAGAAGAGCATTCTTTCTAACATCTAAACCACTGACAAAGAGTTCTGCAAAATTAGACATCCGGTAGGGAGAGCTTCCCTTTTAATGGGCCTTACGAGGTATGAATCTGGATTAGTGGGGCCCTTAATATGGGTACCGGACACCGGGTTGCAAAAAAAAAAAAAGGAGAAACAAGACATAAAGATCTCATGCTATGCTCATTTCCGGTTTAAAAGGGTTGTTTCCAGAGACAAGCAGATATTAATTCAAGCGCCAATGGAATCACTCTGAAGCTGCATTTGCGAAACATAGTCTCAAGTTTAAAAAAATCAAACAATCACCAAACATGCTTTTTGTTTTCTTTAAATGTAAAGGAAGGCAGGAAAGGCTTGTTATTGTTCATGTTCTTTTCTTCAACTCTTTTTGGAACTTCGATTTTAGCAGAGGATATCAGATGATGCCTGATACAAAAATACTAATTATGCTTGCCATATCTAGGCACATTCATCTTTTCAAGGTCCAATGATGGAGCAATGCCAGAGTACATAGAAACAAATGCGACCGAAGAAGAACAATGTAAGAGACAGAGACAAAAAGGGGAAGTTTTATTAACTCTAGTCACTTCCCTGATAAGAAGGACATTCTTTTACAAATCCTTATCCAATGGCATATACAATTAAATGTACATTGCAGGATTCCAACTAATTTCTCAGCGTTGTTCAATCATGAAGACTGAGATATGAAGTCATCTCTCAAATCTAACGATTGACTCTTTGTAAATTGAACAGAAAAGGAATGGAAGAACAAAGTAGAGATCTAGCTCTTTTAGACATTCTTTTTGCTTCTATCTTTAAATATAACGAAACAATCCCATCAATGCCACCATCAGGTTATGTTGAAAGTTCAAAAAAGGATTTTAGATTGTAAGGTGAAACGACATCTACAGTTCCATTCCACAGTAATTCGGCGTACTGTTGGTAGGCCAGCTCAGTGGGATGAAACGAGTCGAAAAACAAGTAATCTTTCATGTTTTTACACAGCTCGTACTTTTTTACCTGCCTCTTACCTCCACAACTATAAATCCCTCGAAATGCACCAGTCCCACAACAAGCGGTCTTTGATGTCTTAAAACCTAAACAAAAGCAAAATTGTAAGTAAACTAAGGAAACATTCCTTAGATGATAATTAAACATTATACTTTGTATTTCCTTTACATTGAGCATTGCCTCAACATGTGATTTAACCGATTAAGATTTAGGACCCACGTTCTATTCTATGAGCAGGGCAATAAAATTTCTGGCACTGTGCAGACATGGGATGGAAAAGACAGATAAAGAAAAACCTATAGTACTTATTGCCATATTAGCTGTGTTAACACAAAATAAACACTGAAAACAGAAACGAACATAAAGAGACGGATTTTGAGTTCGATGAGATAAACATACCATATTTTGTTGGATTATCAATGCTTTCGGTAAATACTTTGAACAAGTTGAATAATGTATACTTAAATCCAGGCAATTGTTTCTCAAGTTGCTTGAGAATTTCTGGGAGAGCTGAATTATGCATTTTCACCAAGTTTGTGACCTCCTCTATGAAATCGCCATTCTTAACTCCTCTTCGAGCATTAAGAGCCCTAATATTAGGAAGAGAACCTATGGGAACCATATTAAGCATGGCAAATTTTCTCCCTCCTTCCCTGTAAATTCCCTGTTGCATTAATTTAAGAAAGTTAAAGAAGTAGTCTAGCTACTCTCTAGCCAATACTCAACCTAGGACATGAAAAAAAAACTCAAATTTGACAAACAAAAGAATTTACACACAGAAGTTTTAATTTGTCATTATTTCACACAAAAAGAAAGTAACAATATCTGATTTCATCCCAAATAATTACAAATTTTGATTTGCTTTGGTCAAAGTCATTTGTATCATATACACTTTTCTAAAATGGACAACAAAATGAAAGCACTCATCACTAAGCAAATACTTCCAAGTCTCAAATAGATAAAAATGTAAATCTAACTCCAAAGAAAGACGAAAAATTTAGGTTGAATTCATTATCTTCAAAACAGATGTCAAATTGCCCATAATCATTTGTAGATATTCTTTTTCAGGATATGGAATAGTCGAATTTGTTGAGAAAGGAGCCAAGTAATCATTACCACCAGCGCTAAAAATATATACAGCATTGGAGAGGATCTGTTTGGATTCCGTTGCTCCCACCTTCTTCTTCAATATTTCTACCACATTTTTGAAATATTTCAACTGTATGTTGAGATCTATGACCTGTCAAATGGAATCAATACTTTAGACATAAACAAGTCCTGGTAATACTAAGTAACTTGCAGAATTTGACATAGAAGGAATTATGGTTATTTAACAATCTTCTTATCAAATAAGTTATGTAAGAATCTTATCCTGAACATAAAATAGCATGTAGAGTATTATACAAATAGACTTGAGCCTGTTAGATGAATGCATAGTATAAACCTTTGAAATGTTACACAAACATGTGATTGAAAATTAAAATTTATTTCTTATAATGTATTAACTAAGAATGTTAATTTTATAAATGAGAATAAACTCTTTTTTGCCATCAAGCGGTTAAGTATTGTCACGACCCGAATTTCCCACCGTCGGGACCGTGATGGCACCTAACATTGTACCCTCTAGGCAAGCCAACATTACTGATTATTTCACCTTTTTTTTTTCTTTATCTTTTAGCAATTTACCAGTTAATATAAGAATATCAGCGGAAAATAAAATGCGGAAGAACAGAATTTAACAGATTATCTTAATACAAATACGAATCCGAAATAAAACTCCACCCAGAACTGGTGTCACAATCTCACGTACCATCTACGAATACTACAAATAATAGTCTGAACAAAGAAATACACATCTGTCTCGGAAATAGATAAAACAGAAGGAAACAGGATAGAAGGGGACGCCAAGGCCTGCGGACGCCTGTAGGACTACCTCGGGTCTCCACTGGATTGAAGGCAGCAACCTCGAACTACGGTCCGTATGGTCCAGCACTGGGATCTGCACAAAAAGTACAAAGTGTAGTATCAGTACAACCGACCCCATGTACTGGTAAGTGCCGAGCCTAACCTCGATGAAGTAGTGATGAGGCTACGGCGGGGCATAACAATATTTATATATAACCTGCAACAATTTATACTAAACAGAAAGGAAATACCGAATGTAATAAGGCAATAACTGGCATTAAATAAACTCGGAACCCAGATGTTCTACTAGTAATCGGCTATAACCAATCCTTAAGGGTGTTTCGATACCACAGTAATGAATTTCAGCAGAAATGAATACTTAAAACAACAACTGATGCGGCGAGCATCCCGATCCAATCATATAAACAACAACAGTATCAATATTCACTCTTATTCCTCCTTGTTGCGGCGTGCAACCCGATCCCACCTGTCCACCCTTATTACTCCTCAGCACATTTCACACTTAATCCTCCTGTTGCGGCGCGCAATCCGATCCCACCTGTCCACCCTTATTACTCCTTGTTGCGGCGTGCAACCCGATCCCACCAGACAATCATAATTCACCTTTATTCCTCCTGTTACGGCGTGCAACCCGATCCCAATATATATATCAACACCAAACACAAAAGACTAAAGACAAGAGTTTCACAAGCTAACTCAAATCCCCCACATTACTTATACCTCAATCCACACAATGGAATATCACAACGATTTATGAAACTTCACCAATGAAAACTATTCAGCGAGACCAACCAAGGTGCACCATAAGGCACCAATGAATCAATATAAGCCAACAAGGTAACAAAATAAAGCTACAAAACCAATAATACTCCAACGGAAAACATCAACAGTTAACATGTAACATTTAAATAATTCAATAAAGAGAACAACAGTTAACATGAAGCAATTAGACATGGAAACATTTATGAGCAAGTAGCAATTAAGGCAGGAAAGTAAGATATAGGGGAACGGGGAAAGGAAATGGGCTAAACAAGTAATTTGGTGACGCATAGGTACTCGTCATCACACCTATACGTCACACACATGATATTTCACATAGCAAACAAGATGGGGATCCCTAGTCCCTCAAGTCAAGGTTAGACCAAACACTTACCTCAAGCCAACGGGTAATTCAACACTCAACCACCGCTTTACCTCTCGATTCCACTACCAATTCACTCGTATCTAGCCATAACTAATTTAATAACATCAATAAATGCTAAATAAACCAATTCTAATGCATGAATATAAATTTCCCAATGTTTTCCCTAAAAAGTCAAAAATCGACCCCGGGCCCGCTTGGTCAAAAGTTCGAACCAAAACCCGATTACCCATTCACCCACGAACTCAAATATGCAATTGGTTTTGAAATCCGACCTCAATTTGAGGTCCAAATCCCTAAAATTTGAAAATCCTAATTTCTACCCAAGAACACCCAATTTCCCATGAAAAACCCTAGATTTTGAAGTGATATCATGTAAAAAGATGAATTAGATTGAAGAAGATGAGTTAGAAATCACTTACTTATGATTTGGAGAAGTTTGAGTCTTTGGAAAATCGCCTAGGGATGCTTAGGGTTCGAAATTTTGAAGAATGAAGTTGAAATCCCGTCTGAAATCTCACTTAACAGGCCGCAGTTATCGCAGTTGGGATCAGGGGTTCGCAATTGCGAACCCTTGGAATTACTGCTGCCTTCGCATTTGCGATGAAAATGTCGCATTTGCGACATAAGGGGCCTTCGCAATTCCGGCCAAAACGTCGCATTTGCGAGGATGGCCTGCCCAGGCCTGGTTCGCATTTGCGACATTATTGTCGCATTTCCCAGGCCTGCTCACTTCGAAATTGCGAAGCCTGATCTCGCAATTGCGAGATCAGAGGCCTGTGCAAAACAGTTGATGCATCAGTTGAGTTTTCCTAAGTTCTAATCACTCTGTGGCCTATCCAAAACTCACCCGAGCCCTCGGGGCTCTAAACCAAACATGCACGTAAGTCTAAAAACATCATACGGACATGCTCGTGCGATCAAATCATCAAAATAACATCAACAACTACGAATTTAGCACCAAAATTCATGAAATTCTTAAGAACATTGAAATTTCCATTTTCTCAACTATGGGTCTAAGTTATACCAAATCAACTCCGATTCTTACCAAATTTCACAGATTCGACTTAATTATTATTTTAAACCTGTACCGGACTCCAAAACCAAAATACGGGCCCGATACCATCAAGATCACACGCCATTTCATTTCCAAAAGTCCTTAAATTTTCCAGCAAACAATTTTCTTTAAAAATTCTTTCCTCGGGCTAGGGACCTCAAAATTCAATTCCGGTCATACGTCCAGATCCCATATTTTACTACGTACCCTCCGGGACCGTCGAAACATGTGTCCGGGTCCGTTTACCCAAAATATTGACTGAAGTCAACTAAAATCATATTTTTAAGCCAAAATCGTTATTTCTTAAAAATCTTCACACAGAAGCTTTCCGGTATCGCGCCCGAACTACGCACGCAAATCGAGGAGAGATACAAGGAGGTTTTCAAGGCCTCAGAACACGGAAATGGACTCTAAAACAAAAGATGACATTTTGGGTCATCACATTTTCCACCTCTAAAACAACCGTTCGTCCTCGAACGGACATAGAAAAGTACTTGAGTCGGTAAAAAGGTAGGTATATCGGCTCCGCATATCGGACTTGGACTCCCAGGTAGCTGCCTCAACAGGCTGACCTCTCTAGTGAACACGAACCGATGGATAACTCTTCGATCTCAACTGTCGAACCTGCCGGTCTAGAATAGCTACCAGCTCCTCCTCATAAGTCAAGTCCTTGTCCAACTGGACAGTGCTGAAGTCTAACACGTGGGATGGATCTCCGTGATACTTCCGAAGCATGGACACATGAAACACTGGATGCACCGCTGATAAACTCGGCGGCGACGCAAGTTTGTAAGCCACCTCTCCCACTCGATCAAGAATCTCGAAAGGACCGATGAACCTAGGGCTTAGCTTTCCCTTCTTCCCAAATCTCATCACGCCCTTAATGGGAGACACCCGAAGCAACACTCGCTCTTCGACCATGAATGCCACATCTCGAACCTTAAAGTCGGCGTAACTCTTTTGCCTGGACTGAGTTGTACGAAGCCTACCCTGAATGATCTTAACTTTGTCCAAGGCATCCTGTACCAAATCCGTACCCAACAACCGAGCCTCCCCCGGCTTAAACCACCCAACTGGCGATCGACACCGTCTACTATATAATGCCTCATAGGGAGCCATCTGGATGCTCGAATGATAGCTGTAGTTGTAGGCAAACTCCGCTAATGGCAAGAACTGATCCCACGAACCTCCAAAGTCAATAACACATGCTCGGAGCATATCCTCTAAAATCTGAATAGTACGCTCCGACTGACCGTCCGTCTGAGGATGAAATGCTGTGCTCAACTCGACCCGTGTACCCAACTCAGGCTGAACTACCCTCCAGAAATGCGAGGTAAACTGCATAACCCAATCGAAAATGATAGACACGGGCACACCATGAAGACGAACAATCTCTCGGATATAGATCTCAGCTAACCTTTCTGAAGAATAGGAAACTGCCATAGGAATGAAATGCGCTGACTTGGTCAGCCTATCAACAATAACCCATATTGCATTGAACTTCCTCTGGGCGTGGGAGTCCAACAACGAAATCCATAGTGATACGCTCCCACTTCCACTCAGGAATCTCAATTTGCTGAAGCAAACCACCAGGTCTCTGATGCTCGTACTTTACCTGCTGACAATTCAAGACACCAAGCTACATATGCAACAATATCCTTCTTCATGCTCCTCCACCAATAATGCTGCCACAAATCCTGATACATCTTAGCAGCGCCCGGATGAATAGAATACTGGGAACTATGAGCCTCCTCTAGAATCAACTCACGAAGTCCATCTACATTAGGCACACAAACACGACCCTGCATCCTCAAAACTCCATCATCTCCAACTGTGACCTGCTTGGCACCACCGTGCCGCACTGTGTCCCTAAGGACTAAGAAATGAGGATCATCATACTGCCGATCTCTGATGTGCTCAAATAACGAAGATCGAGCGACTGTGCAAGCTAAAACACGGCTGGGCTCAAAAACATCCAACCTCACGAACTGATTGGCCAAAGCCTAAACATCCAAAGCAAACGGTCTCTCACCGACTGGAATATACGCAAGGCTGCCCATACTGGCTGACTTCCTACTCAAAGCATCAGCCACAACATTGGCCTTCCCGGGATGATACAAGATGGTGATATCATAGTCTTTTAGTAGCTCCAACCACCTTCTCTGCCTCAAATTGAGCTCCTTCTGCTTGAACAAATACTGTAAACTCTTATGATCCGTGAACACCTCACATGACACGCCATATAAATAATGCCTCCAGATCTTCAG